ATAAAATAACAACTTTTATAAATCAATTAAAAAGAATTAAAAAAATTCATACGGTTATTGGTGCGCAGTTATTTATTCATCGAAAATAATCTGTATATGTTTTCGATCCTTTTCAATGCGAATTGAGACATTAATTAACATAATTAATTAACTTTAATAAATAAACGTTTCATGATTAATAATAGGTTTAAATGATAATATATGATAATGTATGGATCAAAAAAAAACTTTTTAATTCAGTTACTGATTTTTGGATGTAGAGGAAGGTGATGTAGTAGATTGAAACCACAGAGTCGTCTTAATTATTTGTAAATATATTATTAAGTATAACATCTATAATATAATAATAATAATATAATAATGAAAAACCATTTACATTAATAGTTATCATTTACATTAATAGGTAATATTGTAATCCAATAGTAAAACACTCAGTTATGTATAGATTCTCGATAGCCTTCAAGCATGATGAACTTTAGAGTAGTAGTACCATCAGATCGCGCGTGTTACAGTGCAGAACATTTTTCGTCCGACTGTCCGTAATTTTTTTCCTCCTATCAATAATACATACAATAGTTTTGTCGCCGTCTCCCCTATTTTCTTATTTGATAATTCGCGCCGCGCGCCCACACGCACATACGTACATACGGGATAAAGCCGATATTTCTCAGAGAAAATGTGCCAGGCATCAGGGGCTTTACACCGTGCGATTATTCCTAATCTATCGTCTCGTTATTATACATCGGGATGCCTCAAATCGTGCGGTAGCGTTGCTTGAAACTCGAACGATAGTTAACCGTCGAGGCCGTGTGCTTCGACAGAATTTCAAGCAAAACACAAGTCATCGTATTACATTAAAATGATTCCGAAATGATTACTAAAGTTACTTTTTAACCAGTAACGATTCATTTTAATATTATTTCGACATTATCGTGACTTGTTGTTGCTTGGGGATCACATGTCGCAAATCCTACAAACGGAAAGAGGAAGCCTCGACATATCCGGATTCATTCGTATTAAACAAAAGTCCCTCCCGCACGAAATTGGCCGAACTTCTCCGGACAAATATACCTGAGTGCACCGGCTCGAGAACGAAACGCCGATAGAAGAAATTCGTCTTTAATTCACAGATAAATTTGACGCGTGCTCATAAATTGATAGTGCTCTATCGGCTCTCGCCTCGTCATTTACGAAAATCGATTAAAATTACCAAGTAACTCGCTAAGAATTAGAGACGGTAATAGTCGTTGTGTCGTGCCCTACAGGTAGTGACGTGTGCGCGTGTTCGATTACACTGTATAGGGAGAGCAGGAAGAAGCTCTCCCGCGTTACGTTATAAACATCTGGATTATTTAACCGCTTAGATTATCCGCCACTTAGTTCGCCCTCGTGGATGATATCGAGACATCCTTCTCAAATATATTGTACATTCTGCGTGTCGTCGTTTTGCGAAAATCTATCCCTTGAATCTCTTCGCCACTCGTAAATAAATAAATAAAAGAAAATTAAAAGAACAAAAAAAAAACAGAAAAAGGTTGGTAATAGCAACACGTCTTACGCATTTGATTTGGAAGCTTAAAAACAAGCTGCTTCGATGCAAACTCGAATATTATTGCGCGATGACAGAGGCAACTTAATAGCGATTGCGAGTGCAACTACATGGATTACGTTAGTTACAAGAAGAACAGAGCTTAATCTCGTCAATGCGACTGACGTCGGCCGCACCGGTTAACTTCACAACAATAAAAACATAGTATATATATTTTTTTTCTCACAATATAATTTATCTTTAAATATTTCTGTATATTTGTATAACTATGTAACCTTCGATATAAATACCCTGAAATCTACACTCTCGCGATCACTATCATAAAATTGAATTCACCTCCAGCTCGCTTTTTTCATCCTCCCTCCTTCATTTTCTTCTTTTTACAGTGAATATCGACGTATACACTCGATCGTGACTGTCACTATATATATGTATATTCGAATCCTTTAGAATCTACTATGTACAAATAATCTCCCGCAGCTTTTTCGATTCTGGGCTATAACTTAAATGATGGCTTACTGATGAACCAGCGAAGCTAGTTTGTAGAACGGAATGGTACGAGTTTGCTATATTACAGGATACTAATTGGCAGAGTACAGAACATAAATGTACATATTGAGAATCACAGTACAAGAAAAAAATATCAGCTGCATTTTTATGGTAGTTAGAGCAGCCAACTCTGAAGTTTTAGATTTTTCTTAAGAAACTTCGTATATGGTATACAACAACGTACACAAATAAAGAAAGTAATTACAATTTTTGTCATATTAAGAAAATAATTGCAAAGGATAGTGAATAAAGAATTAAGAAAAATAATTTTTTGCATACCGCGCAGATGAAAGATCAAGCACGAAAGAATTACAAGAAGGAATCGAATGCTGATCGAGTCCTTTCGATCGTCGACTATATCTTTATCAATTCGTTCGTATATTTCATTCGGTTTATATTTACCGAATAGTGTACAATTTATAGCCAACATCGAATTGTCGCGTAATATATTTATATATTTATATATTTGTTTGTATATCTAACTGCCCATATATGTATAATCGATTAATACGCAGTCGAATACCGTTCTCGCTCTCCGTTCTCTGCGAGCAGAGTCCTTAAGTAAAATATTTCGGATAAAAAATATGTATATTTTGTCGACGTGGTGGTTTCTGTTAGAGGATCGTATCAAACGATCACACTGTCGTCATTTCGTAACTCTTTCTTCTTTTTATACAATAACTCTCAACGTTTTAAAATGTATTTAACAAAATCCGATACACGGTCGGCTTAAAATTAAACAATTTGTTAGTTTCTCAAAAGATTCATTATATAAACGCTAGATTTTTGTTTGTTCATTGCTAGATATATCTTTATTGAATCATTTCTAAAAAAATCACACAAAAATCCAATATCTATTTTACTATTTCAGACTCTTTTCCAGAATATATCAAATTATCCGTAAAAATTATAGCTAAATTTTACGGAAGAAACCTGAAAGTTATTTATTATTATTACCCATGCAGTCTAATCTCCTGCCTATTTTCTCTCTTGATATCGATATGTTGTATTGCAATGATCTTCTGTCGCATGATCATTTGATAATTGAATCGAATTATCTTCAAATTGCACTTCTTTTTTTATCTTATGTTTTCAACATTTCGATTAGTATCGTGAAGAATCATATTGGAGTGGATAAAAGAGATTATATTAAATTAATCAATCGAACGTTTGTTCGATATTTTTTAAAATCCAGAATTGATTATCTTTAACTATCAGCGTAATTATTTCTATTTCATCAATCACTAAAACAATTTTTTATTCAGTTATTTCATTATTCAGTTAATTTCATAAAAAAAAAACGGTTGATGGCAGTGATATTTCATGTTTATCTCAGATCGTTATCATTTCAAGTCCTTGCACTGCAAGTATATTTTCGTTACGACTATGACACTCGGTAGGATCGCGCGACCGAGATTTCCCGATCACTTCACAGAAACTCTCGATAGCGTATAGTAAGTATCGACCTCACATTCATCGCACGAGGATTATAGTTCAAATGGCGGATCAGTGTAGTTTTTACAGAGTGCTTACAGGCTAAACGCTCCCTCTCGATAAATATCTCTCCCGCGCGAGGTGTACAAAAGAAAGCGAGGAATTACTCCTTTAGGAGCAAGAATTCATTTTTCTGCCCTTACACTAACAGCGATAATAGTAATAATTACAGTAATAATCGTTCGTATGGTTTCTCTCTTTTTACAGCGACTCCTTCACGGCAAAGAGCAATTCATGCCACGAAGCTTTTAACGGAAATGCGTATAATTACAGGTTGGACGTGGCACACACACAGTTCTCTTATTCTTCCCTAAATAAGTACATGTATTGCCTGTCGCACTTAGAAGCGTCGAACGCGTCCGGCGAATGTGGCAGTGGCTGCGGAACTACTTCTAAGTAGTTATAGATCTATCACTTCTTCTTTCTTTCTCTCCAATTCTCTCTTTCTCTCTCTCGTTCTCTCATTCATTCTTTCTTTCTCTCTCTTTCTTTCGCTTTTATTCCCCTTTCGATCTATGAGCAACACTCACTTTCGTATAATATTGGCCCCAGCACCCTTATTATTTTCTTTTATTATTACATCATCTCACGCGACGACTAGTACAAGCGTTAGGAATTTACATAGCATGAAATTAGTTATTATTAGACGGTTTATGAAAAATATGCTTTCAGTAAAGGTTTGTGTATATGGTTATACTCAAAGAATTTATCAATATTTAGCTGTTATAGAGCAAAAGTAGAGAATAATCAGAAATAATCAGAGTTAAATTAAGTAAATGTTAGAAAATTATGATTATTTACTTTTATATATATATATAAAGTTAACGTAGTAAATAAGTACACCAACCATAACGAAACACCATAAAAGATAAAAGCACATAGAGCCCGAATGTGTCGTTCTTTATTTCCGGTTACGACGTCGCGGAACTAGCGGCTCTTTTCACAAAACTCAATAAGTCGTCGTTGGGTTTTCCTCACATCTTCAAAGGCAAACGTACACCGTTATACAATAACACAAATCCACGCCGACTCTACATCCGCTACGCAACACGTTCTCGCTTCGCCTTTCTCTTAGAAAAACGTAATAAATCCTTCGATATATGAAGAGACAACATAAACGAAATATTCGTTCGAGGGCAATAAATACAGCATATTTTCACACTGCGATCACAGTTGGACGTGGTAATTAGAGGGCAATTTTTGCAACTGCGGTTGTATCGATAGAATTTGAATGAGAGAGGGAGAAATATTTTGCAGCTGCTACGTATAAAACCACATGCAACAAATAATGTTTTTTCCTTTAATTACAATTTATGAAAAGATACCGTTATATGTATAATAACGATGTACAATAATAAAATGTTCTTTAATTAATTATATATATATTATATATATTATATTTTTATATTCTCTTTTATAATAAGATAGTTGAGTTTTGATAATTGAGTTTTTGACTTTTTCTTCAATAATATTATTTATCAATTGATGTCTCGCGCGTAGCGGAACGTGTGTAGGAAGCTCACGTTTCGCATCGAATTTTATATACATTCATAAAGCCTCGCTTCCACACTTGGCTCTGCCACATTCGCGGGGCTGGCACATGCATTTCTATATGTATACCTTACCCGTTTTCGACTTGTCTCTTTAATTTTTCTTAATCACTTCATCTATCCCTGCGTCATAACGCACGCATTCACTTATGTCCTAAGTAAGATTGATTATTTAGTTTACCTCACCGTACCAGAATGTCACATATAATCACCACAAATGCAAATATTTCGCAATAAAAGTCTTTGTTCTTTCAACTATATAGCCACAGGTGTGTGGCGCGTCTCGGCTCAGTGGCATCACCTCGCGATGTATCTGGCGAGAAGAGCTCCGAGGAAAACGATGTAGAGAAGAGACATTGGCACCCGAAGTGCCCACGTGGTCCCCGACGAAACGTCGCCACATTGAGCTAAAACATAATCAGTATGTCCCTTAATAAAATATAAGAAAAGAGAGAGAAATCTGAAACATCGAAAAAAATTCACTCATCAATAATTAATTATATAATAATATAATTATATAACTTCTACTATTAAAAATTAGAAAATTCAGAAGAAAAGTGAACACACTGATAGTGAGAGAAAAATGTTAAAGTGTTGCGAAGTAAATGTTACGACGTTTTCTTTGATATATTTTCGACAAAATATATATTTCTGTGAAATATGTATATCCCATTAATTGTAAAAAAATAAAATAGCTGGCTTATTTGCCAGGAATAAAATTTTATTTCGCCGTATTTAAATAAAAATTTATTTCAATGAAATAAATATATTTCTCACAAATAATTTTTTAAGTATCTTTTTCTCAATGTAAAGATATGTATTTTCAAACCCCTCCATTTCGTCAAATTGAGAAGAACTTTTCTTATCAGATGTGGACGTGAAATCGTAGTATTATTTAATAATCATAATTGGTAAAAGAAAAAACGAGACGAATTACTGTACATTGGAAAAAAATTTTCTAAATCTTAATACATATTTTTTTAAATAGTACTAAACATTTACTTAATAAAAAAGATAATTAAATCAAATTAATGTTTTTTTTTGTATCAAATAAATATATATATGTTTATTAAATACAATAAAAACTTAGAACTATTCAAACAAATATTTTATTAATTATTAAAATTATTAAAATAATTATTAAAATTAAATATTTTTTATTTAGTGTAAATTTTTTTAGTGTAAAGAACGAAACTCCAATTAGAGAGTGGAGTCGCGTGTCGAGTTTGGAATTAACAATGCTCACCGTACGACGTGAGGTTCACCTGCCACGAAACTGGATAGCGATGAGAGGCTCTCGGACAGGAAGCGAGATGGCCCGTCACCGAGAGTTCACGACTTCCTGTCGTCGCGGCGGACGCGCTGTAAACGAGGCAGTAACGCCCAACGTCGGTGCTAGCCACCAAGTAAGCGGTGTCGTTCTCCACCCAAGTTCCATGGCATAAGTACTCTGGAAACGAGACGGCATCGGCTGTGAGCAGAGATAAAGAAAAAAAAGAAGACGAGAAAGAAATGGTAGCGTGTTGTTTCGCGAGTTGTTCTCCGCGCATTATAGACTTTGCGCTAAAAAGCATCGCGCGCAAAGTCGCATTAAACTTCTCGATTTCTTAAAGTACTGCGAAGGCAGAGGCGAGATTATGGGCGTCGTAACTTTGCGCCCATAGTATATAGGGAAAGTTTTTTTTAAGACCGTTTAAAGGACCGACGACAATAACATGCTAAGCCACACGGAGCAAATTTGACGGGAGCAGATGGAAAAAGACTATAACTCGTTAATGAGACTCGGTATTATCTTCGTTGCTGGCCAAGTTTGTTTCTCAACTCTAAAAAGAGCATCTTTTTGTACGTGGATATTATAAACTAAGAAAATAGTTCGTGTATTAAGAAATTTGCCAACAGTACATCATTGCCTGATGTTACTTTGAAAATTATCGTAAATTACTATAAAAAGGATATGAAGTAAAAATATTAAACAATAGTAGTCATGAGTCATTCAGTTATAATTCTTCAAAGCTGAAATGGGATTATTACCACTTAAATATAAATTTCTTTGTCAAAAACGTCAAACAATTCAATTTCCTTTGTGTCTTTGTTTTGAATTATTCTCACTAAACTATATATTTATACTGCAGGAAAAAGTCTGGTTGTATTAACTGGAATTCAGAATGAAAATAGACAAATCAGAATTTTCTGGTTGAATTTGTTATATAGTAATTGTAGTTGAGATATATAAACACAGAATTCTAATTAATATGATCAGAATCTTCTGGTTTGTTCATTTTCAATCAGAAATTTTTCTCAGTATTAATTTATGTCATTTTGGTTCATGAAAATTAATTAGTATTTTTTAATTAACAAATGAGTCTTAAATTAAATAGGTTTTAGGAACCCAATTTCGGTAATTGTGTTAGATTTTGACAGAACATTTCTGGAAGCATACTTTGTTTAATACTTTATTTCGAATTATTAATAATGAAACTAAATTGTTTCATCAAAATATACACTGTTGGATTTATCGCTCGTAAATTTTCATAATTTCACTTATAGACGAGGTAATTGTAATCCTTTAACCATTCAATTAACGTATCCAATGAAAGGCGGGGAAAAAATACGATTCGATCGCTCGAGGAAGCTACTTTTATGTCATTATTTTTACGGCACTTGTTCCTCCGCCTTCCGGCCGTAACAATGCGCGCGAGAACGGAAGAGGAATAAACGAGGACCGTAAATCCTCCCGACACATCGATATCAGTGACATTTCGAGCGACGATACCCGATCGTACTTGCGAGATAGTAAGATGAGAATTTACTGCGGTCGCTCGACAGCTCGTGACTTCGCGTAAAGAGGAAACGCGAAACCGCGCATCGTGTTCAACGACAGGCGATGGCACGTATCAATGGTAAAAACTAAACGTGTTAAGCGCGACATTGATGTATCAGAATAAATGTACAATTTTTTACCCGCTGTTCATCTGGATACGAATATGACGGCTCGGGAAAATTAACGATCGATCATCATACCCTATCTGGCGAAACGATCCAATAGACATTAAAGTGATCGAATAATTTTATTCCCTGAGATATGGCAAAACGGTTTATTTTACTTTATGCCGTAAATTGGCGTCTCTAGGAAACGCCGATTCAGAAAACGCGGACGTACGCGGATTCTAAAAGTGGAAATATCGTCGGTAACAAAGTTTCGAAATGCGGTTCTAAATTCGTCGGGGATTCCAAGATTAGAGGGTAAAATTAGTCGAGAAAGTCCATGGAATTGAAACACGTGTTCCCATCGTTTTCCTGCTTGACGGAACGATCGTGACTCCGAAGCGAGCGGAGAAGATTCGGTGGTACGACGCGATTAACGATCGCGCTGGAGAAGTCGCGATGCCCGACGTTGCTCTAAGTCGCGAACCGAGTACACCGACCTGTTTATACGAAGTCTTAATGGCTATTCTGCCTTCTCAACGGCGTTGTCCTCGTCCTCATCGCTGGTATCTATGTCTCAGAATACAATCCCATGTCGACAGCCGCGAGGCACGGGTCTCGAGTGCTTAAATCCTCGGTTGTGTCAACATGTCTCGGTAACTCGTGCTGCTAAAATAATTCCTGCTACGAAACATCTCTCTCTCTCTCTCTCTCTCTCTCTCTCTCTCTCTATCTATCTATCTATCTCTTTCACACTCCGTACCGAGTTCTGTAACGTATCAACGTTTTCATGGATTACAAAGACACTATCGACTTCGCATCTGTTGTTTGATTCACAAGAGATTTAATCTGCCTTCCATCTCTTTCCGGTGATCCAATTAATCTGGGAATCGCCCCTAAATTATTTTGGAATCGCTTTGTTATTATTATTCTTGTTGTCGAGACGAACACGCGGCTTACACTGATGTTGATACATAGAAACACTAAAATAGGAGAACCTGATACAATAGGAATAGAGTTATTTGATGGATTGTGTGCGAATACATAAATGAATATTATGCGATATATCCCGTCGAAATTAATGGATCTCCGTAATAACGCTCGATGTATATAATTTATTATCAGTTGAGTTAGTTTGACTGTAACGGGGAAAAGTCCTGGTTCCTAGTCGAAACTTGCGGATCCGAGTGACCGAGCGATTCAGAGGGATACAGTCAAGACGACGGGAGAAGCACGGAAGAACACCAACAAACGCAATGTGTCAATTTTTATGTATGGAGTCAAACGAAGTGCACAAAGTTAGCGCAGTCGTAAGCAAGCGCTATACGCTGGCAACCGTGACGCCCGCTGCCTTTCTAAACTAACTATCACCACTTGTGATAACTTTGCGCGAACTAGGATGGGACGAGACGAGAGGAAGGTGCGGGTAATCCGATAAGATGTTCCAGGCAGACGTGCTCCAACCCGTGTCGAGTCTTCTCTTTCTCACATTCTGCTGTTCCACGAAGATTTTCCCGAATACATCGAAGACAACGATTGACTGCCACGAATTTTTCAAACCGTTTACATCGTCCCCGAAAGCTTCTTAAAAATCCGCTATAGTTTATAGAACCGCGATAAGAGAAGCTAAGAAGATTCAAAGACGACGACTACGTTTGTTAACTATGCCAACCCACGTCACATGTCGAGAATCCGTCAAAGTTTGTAAGCGCTTTCAAAGCTTGTCGTCTGTCGTGGGTGAAATCTTCTCGTCGCTTATCGGACATCTCTTTGGTTAACTTCCTTTAGTTAAGTGAATCACAAGGGGAACGAAAAGAATCTCCGTAGCGTATAAATGCCATCGTAGAAAATAAGTCGCTAGAAATCGCAGTCAAAACTATTATGGGCGTAGCCAAAGAGGAGGACTGTGACTCTAAATCTTATAAAACAAATATAATTAAAACCGTTTAAAGAGATTATATTTAATGAGATTATTACACAAGAAATTTTTAGAAAAGAAGAAAAAATTGGAGGTAGTTATACACAAATTTTCTGAAAATCCTAGCTAGTGTTATAAATTTAAGATTTACAATTCAAAGAATCGATTTATAATTAAAAAAAATAAATTAGTATATTAAATATATGTAATTTTTTTATTCAAAAATCTCAACTCTAATTTGGTCCCTCTCCTCTAAACAAAATCCCTGCTACGTCTATGTATCTAATACAGTACAGTTTCTTACGAGAAAATAAATTCTAAAACAGATAAAACATTCCTAGATATTTCTTCAAATAGCGGAATTGGATTTCGTCGAATTATACTTCGTGGTGCGCAAATAAAAATATCATATAAATAATAAAATTTTATTTCCCATTGAATTTTATGTGCACTATCGTTCCTAGATATTAGAGAGTATTATAAAATATAATAATGCGTGCGAAAAGCAGTATATACAGGCAGATAAGGTAATCTTTACCGGATAACGCCTCATCGCTGCAAGACGTGGCAAACTCCATACGATCGGGTGTCCTGCAACCGATGTCCAATCTACGTACACTACCGTGGTGGCACTGGCTTGGGAATGCTGTCGAGGGTATTCTCCCGTCATGCACCTCCGCTGCGTTAGCAACGTTCTGCTCGCCATCGACGGCCAATACGCTTTCAACGTTGTCGGCATTCGGTGGCCGAAACAACGACACGATCTCGTAGCGACCGAGATTGGGGCATTGCCTGGTCATCGGATCGGATGCTGAAAATGCGTAAAGTTCATTTAATTTCGTATGATATCATTATCTTAATTAAATCATGCTCTAGCAATTTTAACTGGCACAATTTTTTTATTAATCTCGATAATATTTGATCAAATAACATATCAAATAGAGCGACGAATTATAAACAAATTGTCCTTTTCTCAAGTGTGAAGAACAGCCATTAACTTTCACGCGATCCTCCGGCGACAAGCGACAGAGGATCGCTGCTTACATTGTAGTGTAACTTTTAGCCGAGCAATTTGATATGCGATCGACACGCAGTCGACGCGTTCCACACGATAAGATGAACGCGTTCTACTTTGTTCTTATAAGAAATTAGTGCAACACGATCCACGCCAAAGTGAGAAACCGCTGTTTATTACGTTCACCGTCAAAATGTTGAATCTCTCGGGACGATCCATTCAAGAAATTCTATGCGAAAGATTCGTTTTTATATATGAATCTTTTTATCACTGTATCTTTATTATATTTATCTACATTAATCACTATTTCGGCCAGGACTAAAAGCTTTGAAAATTACTTTATAATAAGCTTTTCCAAGTAACAGTAACTTTTTCGCTTGAGTAGAGATAAGGGCACAGTGCATTTACAAAATAATATCATCGTTTAAATAATATCATTATCTACTAAATAATTAAATAATTAATATAACATTATTCACATATATTATATAGATATAATAGATATAAACTGTGCATTTCCTAATCTTACAATTAGCGTCTGTGCTTCGTTAGAAAGAATTGAGAGAGAGAGAGAGAGAGAGAGAGAGAGAGAGAGAGAGAGAGAGAGAATATCAGCATCTCTCTTCAATTTAATACTTGAGAAAAAGAGATAAAAGTATTTATTTTTATTCTAGGGCAAGCCCTCTAACATGAAAGTAAGCAAAGAAAAAGAAAGTACAATGGAAAGAATATACAAAAATATGCAAAGTTTAGCAAGAGCAATACAGCATAAATAATACATGAAGAACAAAAGTATGCGGAAATATACAAAATTGTGCGGAAATATACAAGATATAGAACTGAAATGATTAAACAAAATAGTAGTAATAAAAAATGTTTAAAATCATATAAAGTACAGCAATGATAACGTGTGAAATAACAAAATTAAGAAAAAATAAAAACAATAAAAATGGCAGGAAGAGAAAGAATGATGACGCAGCGAGAGAAAGAGAGAGAGAGAGAGAGAGAGAGAGAGAGAGAATATTGTTAAAGTAATAAAAATATTATTAAAATATTAAAGCTTTCTAAATGATAATGA